GTGTAACATTACAATTCATACTGTACATGGCATCAATTTTACCATCCTTTACTTTTGTAGCTATTAAACAATTTAATCAAGTCATTCCTCTCATTTAGAAATATAACTTGTAACAACTATTAACTTATAGGCTAATAGAACAGTTGAGTTTGCAAGTAGAAGTCATAAGATATATGATGAAAGATATTTTCTTAACCCTAATGATTACATATAGTTTGATAAAGGTTGATTAACAATTTGTGATTAAAATATTCTTACAGGAAACTGAATGTGAAACAATAAGATACAAAAAACACACCTTATTGATTTCTAACAGCAGGTTTAATACATTAAAAACATTTTTGACCTATTCATAGATCTTCCTCAGTCAGAATGTACAGAAGTAGAACAAACAAACAGACTGAATACAAAACTAGCATTTTAAAACTGAAAGAGAACAAAATACAAATTAAAAATTTGAAAGTTCTAAATTTAAATGTAAAAATAAAAAAAATTTGATTACCAATATTTAATTTTAAAAATTTAATGCAAAAACAAAAACAGTATTGGATTTCAAAGCCTTATATTATTCCATCAAATTATCTTTGCACTTTTGAGAACTGAAGAACATTTTATTCTGCAACGTAGAAGAACTACATAATCATCACCAGCACATTTTAGAATTTGCTCATTTGACCTGCTATTCTTTTTGCTTCCTCTTTAATAATGAGATGTATATACAGGGTAAGGGTGTCCCAATTGGCAGCCTGATATTGAGAATCCCATGTGAATTGGTTGTATGCAAATTGGAAAAAATAGAGATCAACAAGTTCCAACATCTCATCTTGCTCTATGCCTAAAATGTGGACAACTTTTAACTTAAGGCAAAAGAAACCTGACTTATATCTCCTATTACACAGGTTCAACATTAATCCCTGTGGGCTATGTCTGAAACAAAAAAGAAAGTGCTACTTCCATTTTCTGGACATCATCAATCTTAAAGACTGTAGCATACATCCCAACTGGAAATCAACATACTAACCAATCTTAACATCCAACATAAGTTAATAACACAATAAAGATGAATACTTCTGAAATAAACAAACTTCCTATTCATATACTGCACAAACTGTGTACTTAACTATACCTACAATAATAAGTTTATTTCAGCTTCATTAATTTACTCACTAACATATTTCTAAAACTAATTCTAAATCAAATCCTGTTGGAAATTGGGGACATCTGTATACCTGCATGAATGTCCTAATTTTTAGAATACTTTTTATTGTAATTTTTATTATTATTTCTAATATTAGCATAAAGACAATAAATAATGCTAAATTTATATATTGTTTAAATATTACTTTTCAAATGTAAATAGTTTCCAATGTTAACATTAAAAATTTCAGCTTGTGTTTTATTTAACAATTTTTAAAAATGACAATATAAAATAAAAACATGCAATTAACCCAATAATTAATTTAAATATCAAACAAATAGCCTGATAAAGAATCTGACTGTCCATTTGATATTTATAATATAAAATGTTTACTAATAGAGCTTTGAATATTCTACATTGTACTTCTTTAGAAAAAAATTATTTGGTTTATCTTAGGTTATAAATGATTTTTCTATTGTTTTTATTTTATTTATATTTTAATTTTTAAATATTAACAATAGAAACTTTTTACAAATTGTTATTAAATAACTAAAGTAAAAAAATAAATGCAAATAATTCATAAAAATATTCATGAAAGGTTTATAATATTAAACCATTTCATTAATATGTTTTATTTTAGTTTTACACCTGTGTGCTACTTAACATATTTTATTTGACTTATAATCTATAAATTTATTATAATTACAATTTGCTTATGAAATCATTAATTAATCTTAAATTTATTCAATATAGTTTTAATCAGAATTATTACATGTGCAATATAATTATGTATGGAGTATGAAAAGTAATTATAGCTTTATTCCAGACTTACTTATCAGTACCAAACTGAATTCTACAAGTATTGTTTGGACTGGAGCTTTTCAGCAACAAGTATCTAGGAAAATTTTGAATTGGAAAGAGATGGTGAGTTTAGTTTGAACCTGAAGATGGTAGTCAAGATCTTGGATTCTAGAATGATGTTAAAGTAGATATGAATGACAACATAATAACCAAAATGTAAGACATTGCATCAGATTAACTATGAAAACAGTAATTATTTCAAATGTAATGTACCAACAAACTGATGACCAGTGTGTATAGAGAAAAAAACAAAACAAAAATTCACCACAAACGTTTTCAAACTCCCCAGAGTTCTTTTTCAATTTGTTTTTTTTTCTGTGCACACCAATCATTGGTTTATTGGTACATTGTTGATTATACCCCGGTGTTGTGTGGTGTTGTTTAAAATGTAGTTATAACCCACAAATACAGTCAATAAGTAGTTTGATAATTTGTAGAATGTATATATAAATAAGATATTTCAATGTTAAATGATTGCCGTATTACATAGAACAATTATTTGGTGTTAAACTAAAAATTTGGTTATTGCATGTTTATATTTGAATTAAGGTGTTTCTTTCAATTTGAACCCAGTCGTCTTTCATTGCAAGGTAATAAACATGGAGAATATATATGTTTTTAAAATAAATCCTCAGGGTTTAATCAAGGAATTACAGTATATATTTTTAGAGTTATGCTACTAGGGATTTTAAAATTTTTACATTATTAGGATTTATACACAGTGTATTTGGAGTGGATATCCTCTATATATATGTGTGTGTGTATGTGTTTTGTATATATAAATTGCTATTTCTCTCTTGCAAAGGCTAGTCTTCTGTCTCCTCCTTCCTATATCATCATACACTTACTTATAGAAAGAGGCCAAAAACCCCACATACATGAATTGAGTTTATCAGTATTCCAAAAAAAAATAATAATAATAACTGACTGGTGTCAGTCATCCTGACATAATACAGCAAGCTAATCCGACTACAGTATGTTGAGAAATCCCATATTAACATAAAAATTTATATTTTTGGATAATCTGAAACACTTGCTAATCCAAAAAGGTCCAAGCCATAATTAGTTTGAATTAACAAGATTCTATTGTATATATCTGTATATGTATACCACAGAGTAATTATATATATATATAATTAATTGAAAAAATATATATATTATCAATTTTTAAATAAAAATGCATTTCTAGATGACGAAACTGTTAATAGAGAATTTTAATTTTTTCCAGAATAGTCATTGGGCTATAATTTGAAAAAATTGTAGACCTATAAATTCCCACTGTCATCCATATGTCTGTCCATCTGTCTTTCCTTAATATTGAGAACATACTTAGATAGATGAAATTTGAGACCAGATATGGAAAACTTAGGGGAAGGAAGCCCCAATTAACTATATACAAACTTCCAGTCCAAACCAGAAGTCATGTTATTTCAATTCAAAAATTTTTCCCTGAAAGGTGTTGCATAGATGACTAGCACAACTCTACTGTTAAAGGAAAAGTATGATTTACAGGGGCAAGCCACTACTAATTGAGATGGAGAGCATATATTATAAATCAAATTAAAAATATGATTAAAAATTGCAGCCTTAGCATTATGATGATGTCACAACAAATAATTGCTCTTTTTATAAATTATTTATCTGCTTTTTAATTTAAGGCAAGAAATATATTTAACGAAAGAATGACTTATATGTGTGAGGCACAAATTGTTTTTATTTATAATCAACTAAACACACTAAGAACTATTAAATTATATTCTTTAACAACAATATATATTAAAACACTGATCTATTTCCTTCATTTATTATTTTTGATTGAAAAATAAATAGGAAATAAAAATGTAAAAATGCTAATTAATTATCATTGTAGATAGTTTAAAATCATTGTTTGCTTTTAAAAAATAATATAACAACTAAAAAGTAACTGTCCAAAAAATTTTAATTTCTGAACAAAATACAACCTCAGAAAAAATTTTTAAACAATTCAAATCTTTTCATTAAAAAAAATAGGACATTAAATCTTATCTAAAATGTGGTAGATGTTCACCTAGGTAGCCCCAATGGCAGTATTGTGTTTAACTCATCCCACCCATGTTCTAAGGTGTGAGCGATAGCAAGCACCAAACACACACCTACAAGCAAAGCACAGAGGATAGTGGGTAGACCGATACATGTTAAAAACTGATCTTCAGAGACAAATATCACGTGAACAATCAACTATGTGGGGGCGATGTGATTTATGTAAAAAATACAAAATAAAACATTGATTTTGCTAAAAAAGTAGCAAAAATGACTGTCACTCCAATAACATAGGTGCCGCCATTGGAGCTACCTAGGTAAACATTTACCTAAAATATAAATAAACTGTTACAATATGATTGTATTTGATTCAACTACAAGACTGTTTTCATTTGATTTATACATTGGATATCACAATAACATCGAAGGATATACCAATTAAAGTCGAACAAACAATACATTTGGTCATAAAATATTATCCAGTCAATAAGAACATATAAAATTTTGCTTACTATTTCAAACAAATAATTATCAACTTTTACACAAAACCAGATAGAGTCAAAGTTTAAACATCAAATTTCTAGAAAACTAACTATAAACTTTGATTCTATTCAATTTCATATATAAAAACAATTAAAACCTTTTTGATATTGTTTCTTTGAATGCTATAATGTTAAAATTAAAGCTTACAAAGCTTGATGAAACTTGAATTATATAAAATTATAATTAAAAAACAATAATAATCTTCATAAAACAAAATACATTTTAATTGTATGTAAAATTGTGAATATAATTTTTATGCTTAACTAATGTATTACATTGAAATATCAATTTTCTAATTAAGTGTTTACTTAATTTTATATTAAATTTATGATGCATCATCAAACAGGATATTGCACTGTACTCCATATATATATATATTTCATTTAGTATATAATGTTATTAATGCATTGAGTGTTAAGAAGATATAAATATAAATTACCTCTTTATCTTTCAGACCTAAGAGTAGAACTTCTTCCATTAACGTTAATCTCGTTTCTTTCGAGTCAACATCATCGTCGTCGTCTGATGGGTTGAATCGTCTTTCGTCATCGGAAATTTTCTCATTCGCTTGACTATTTACGTTTTTCCTCTGTATTAAGCCTTCTGTTCTGTTCATAGTGAAAAGCGATACGCGAAGCTTTAGATTAATTTAACGTATATATTACATCAATGCACTTTCTTTATTTTTAAAACACTGTTCATTTTTCTGTCATTCTGTACTGAAAACAAAATGGCGTTTTTGATGATGACACTGACGTCATCTCTAGTCGGATTAATCAGTTCAAAAATAGCCCAATTATAACCGACGTCACCATTTTTTTTTTCTATTTATTTATTTATTTTTTTGTTTAAATCGTTTGATTGAACTTATAAAAATAAATGCATTTTTATATATTTTATTAATAACTTTTATAATTGGCAAGTTATTAAATTTTTTTTTCTTTTTAATTTAATTTTATTTTTTATTTTAATTTTTTAGCCTGAAGAGTGATTGGACAATTAATTAACAATACGAAATGCATTGTTAAATAGGAGAAATAAAGCGAACTGTTTTAATTAATCTCGGTCTCTGTTAATTGCGGATAATTAAGAAAGAGGTGATAAATATCACTATTGAATGAAGAAATTTTTACTTATAGCATCATTTTTTTATATCGAATTCCGAGATAAAATATTCAATTTATTCATAATTAATTTAAAAAAATAAATCCGACAAAGAGTTGCTTAAGTTTCCCGGCAACATTTGGTGCACCATCTATTATGATAATTTTAATTATTATAAAATGGCAGAAAACTTAATTTTGAGAGTAAGGATGGGTTTTATAAAGAATTGTAAATGCTAATAACGAGTAAAATTGTCATGAAGTCCAATCCTAATGGAGATACACACGTCCTCCTTTATCTCCCCACTCCCTCGATATTTAACCACCAAAATTTAATAGCATCAATCCCCCTAATACACAAATTTTTTCATTCCATTATATAAATTTAAATTTAATAATTTGTTAGGAAAAAATTTTTAAATATTATATATGATATAAATAAAATATTTGTACTTATTTTATTCCAAATTTTTAATATTAAATTAGATCTTAGTGTAACTTAAAGATGGTTCTTTGAGAATTAAAAGTATTTATTCATTAAACTCTTATTAGATTTTATCACAAATAAAATTTCACGATAAAAATAAATTATATCAATCTTAAAAACATTATTTAATAATGTATAAATTTTGCTATTCAAGCCACAAACTAATAAATAATTAAAACATAATCAATATGAGTAAATCGTTTTTATTAAATTAATTAATAAATAATTATTATAAAAATTAATTTTATTATCTAAAAATCTTTTATAAAAATCTTATTAAATTTTAACATCTTCAGTAATTTCACGAATCTAAGATTTGTAGTAGAATTATTATTAAATATATTCTGAACAATATAGGCCAAGGACATGAGATCAACAATAATATAATCACGAATAAACTAAGCAACATATTGTACACTTACAGCAGGAAAGCTATTAATAAAGAACTTTGAAGTGTTTAGATTTATATTGAAGAATTCTGCTGAATGTATATGTATATATATATATATATAATTATTTATCTAGTCCAACATTTAATTAGTATATTTAACTTATTTTGCATATTCGAATAATCAACACAATTTTTCGATTTAAAAAATTTATATATATAATTTATTTTTTTAGAAGTTTAAAGGCAATATTTTAATAAGTTATTACAATTTATTTTTGTAAATAAAGAGATTTGTTTAACTCATAGAAGCATTTTTCCATTCTTTGTAGACGAGTATTTTACTTTCCCAACTGTTATAACACGGGAAATATTGTAATAGTGTCAAATTTCTCCTTCTTCTCCTGTTAAATTGGAAGAATTGACAATTTGATATAGTTCCGATATTGTAATAATTTATGAGAAATATATTTGTACGAATTTTAGTTACAATCAGGATCGATTTTGGACCGTTAGCCGCCTGCGTGTTACAGATATTTGGCCGCCCTATCAATGTTGATCGCCAGTAAATTCATAACCTAACCTAACTCATTAATGAGCCTATTGGTATGATTTATAACAGTTTCGTATAGTTGATAAGGGTTTTAAAACTCCATAAAATTATTGGATTACAATTTGAAAAACTTGTAGACCTATAAATTCTCACTGTCCTCTGTCCTTAATTTCGAGAACAGAGTTATATACAGTATATGAAAGACGAGACCGGATATGGAAACCTTGGTGCAGGAGGCCCCCGATTAACTGTATACAAACTTTCAATGCAAACCGGAAGTCACATAATTTCAATTCAAAAATTTCTCCCGAAGGTGTTAGATGACCGGAATGACTCTATTGTTAAAGGAAAAGTATAATGTACAGGAACAAGCCACTATTAATCTGAGGTGGAGAGCACATATCTCAAATTAAAATATGATTAAAAATTCGAGTCCGGCATTGTGATGATGTCACAATAATTTTTGCTCCTTTGAATTTTAGTTTTTAAAGTACACCATCGGCCGCCCTAGGAATTTGGCCGCCTGCATGCATGCACGCACTGCACATCACATGCACCAGATCCGGTCCTGGTTAAATAAATAATTATCCTATCCTGCTGGGGAATCCGAGAACGAAAAAACTCAGGCATTTTTCGGATGAGTAGTCCGTTTCAGATATGCCAGACCCTGTCCCTCACCACCCCTCCTACTGTGTGCCTGGCCGAACCCATAATGGGCTTACTAAAAAAGGCCCTCTTGGTGGAAAGAGTAAATAAAAAAAAAGCAGTTAAACAATGATATGGACACAAATAAAAATAAAATCCGTATATTGGTGGAATAATGACTTCTTTCCACGAAGAATAATTTTATATTTGTTTCGATAATGACTATAGAAATAGGTAGATTATTTATTATTATTAACCACTTACAATTAAGATTTGAGGCCATACACAAGTCCAACGACAATGCATTTTAATGATGTTTTCGGAGGAGGGTACTGGCCCACCATCCAAAACCGATAAACAATTAAATATAAAATTTAATCAGTAGTATCGTTTGTAAATGATTTTTATATGTATATGTGTAAATCTATTATAGTGATGTCCAAACCTTTTTTAAAAAGTTGTTTTTACACTTTAAATCATTGATAAAAACTTAAAATATTGTAGATAAATATAAACTTATTTATATAATATTTTAATTTGTAAGCATTTGGACTGTATAAACTTGTTATTACTTACATCAGTCGTACTAAATTTTCTATTATTAATTATATTATCACAGAAAATAAAATATGAAACTCGTGCTTCATTTTAAAATGGTAGTGTTTTTAATAGAATTAAATATTAGTAAAGTATTTGTAGTTGATATCAAAGTAAACAATAAAAAAATCAAATTACTGTAAACCCCCGTCAACCTGGACTTTTCATAACTCGAATAAAATCTTTTCGAAAAACTGTGCAGCAATTTAAAATTTCTCGATAATATTAATAGAAAAATTATAATTAACGAGTGTTTTAGATATTCAGAAGTTTTTGCGATACCGTGCACTACGAAAGGAGAAATCATCTGACACGTCACGTATCATATGATTTCAATTAATCATTAGTCTTTTTCAATTAGTTTATTTACATTTATTCTAATTAAAGCATATTCGTTTAATTTATTTCAATATCGTTATTCGAAGTCTAAAACTTTGGAAGGCATAAACATCTTTAAGGCTAAGTATGCTTACTATATGACACACAGGCTTAAAAAGGTTTGCCACCCCTGCTGTATACTATACTGTCATGAAATTTTTTGAGCTCATTTCCTGTAATAATAAATCCAGTAGTATATTAAAGCTCAGTAAAACTTCTGATCGTAATAAATTATTGTAGTGTATATCAATCTTCTCCTAACCACGTCATCGGAGAAAACACTCTTCTATAACTCGAACAACCTTCATCCCCCTATTAGCAGAGATTTATTGTAAAAATTAAATTTTATTCTAAATATACTAATAAATACCGGTATTTTTATGTATCTAGACCATTCTTCAGATGAATAATTTATATTTTTAATTATATAAAAATATATTTCAAATAACATTTATATATTTTTAGAGCATTTATAACAATTCTATATCTAAAAAAATTTAAATATAACTTAAATATTTTTTTTAGAAATATAATTTAATTTAAATTACATATAATGAAATTGACCTTAATACAAAAATAAACATCCAACTACGCAATATAAAATGTAAAAACAAAGTTAATCCATAAAACTGTGCAATATTTAATTTAATTTTCATATCAGATTTACTTATGAAATTTATTTACGATTCATATTTCATTCGTCATTCTCTTTCTGTTAATATTTATGACGTCAGTCATTATGCAAATAAAGTCGTTTTTCTACTTTAGAAGAAAATGTAGGCTATTCGAATCATTAATCTTTATCTAAAAAATTAAGTTTTTAACTTTATTGTTAACTAAACTGTGCTATTTTATAGCGCATCAACACATATTTTGTTTGAAGTAGATCTGTAAAACATACTTAACACAAAATATAATTTTTATTTTAGAAGTTCGATTTCAAAAATAAATAAATAAATAAATCGCTATAAACCGGTAGTGGGTCCTTGCCAACGGGTCTAAAATGCCTATTCCACTAACAAGTGTGTAAAGTTTGCTTCTTTGTCATATTTGGTGACCCTTGCCTTAGACCAGAGGTCACCAAACTAAGGCCCGCGAGGTCAGTTCATTCGGCCCGCCGCCGCACTGTGCCACAAATGAGCTAAAGTATAACTATTTATATGGAAATATCATATATTGTATATGAATTTACTATGTATAAAAATTAAAATAAGTGTAAGTTAAAATGTCAAAATTGGTCCAATCTGTTTTTTGCATGATAGTAACATAATTTTTAGGAAAATCAGTGAAATGAAATTTTCGGCTTTTTGCGACTTTGGATATATATATATACTCTTTCCGCCCTGTGGGCACTAAGAGGGCCTTTTATAGCAGGCCTATTAAGGGTTCGGCCAGGCCGACAATGGGGCGACTGGGTGGTGAGGGACGGGGCCCGTCATATCCGAACGGACCATCCCCCGAAAAATTCCTGAGGATTCCTTGACCCGTCCGGATTCGGTCCCGGGTCTCCCAGAGCAGTAGGCTGCAGGGGCGTGCCGTAACATTTGATGATAGGGAAGCTGTGTTTCTGTAAGAAGCAGACATCTAGGGGCAATCAGTCAATTGCGCGTCAGTGATGGTCTAGG